GGGGGTTTCACTTCGAGGGGTAAAAAGTGTAACTATTGCACTGTGTTGTATACCTGAAACTAATTAAAAAATGTTTATTTCACAATAAAATAAAATACTGATACAACTCATAAAATAAAAGAGGGCTCTTTCCCTTTTACATTCCTTGGATTTATTATGCTATTTAAAGTGTTCATTTCCCTGCGCCCTATAAAAGGTCTTTGCTAACTATTGCTTTAGGTCAAAACTCTTTCTTCTTTATAGTCTGGTGAAAAGAATATGTCCACATTGCCTATTCCAACCTGAAAATTCTGTGAGTCAGAAAAACTTCTACTGTAGCTTTAGTGCTAGACACATAGTCGTCATTCAGTAAATATTTGTTGAGTGAATGAATAGAATTTTCTTTTAAAATAAATAGGTATGTGTTATGAAGCCATAAGTGGGATATTACACAGAAAGATGTATACTGCTTAAGCACTGATACACTTTGCAAGTAAAATAACAAATAGAACCCAAACTAAAAAACATAAAAAGATGAGAGAAAGACAAGAATGAATACTGCTAGATCTAGAATGGAGGACAGGAAACAAAGGATGGCTTGAGATCAGGAAAAAAAAAAAAAGCAAAAGGTAGAGGACCTTTCATGAGTATAATAGACGTTGTAGGATCTATGCCTCCATTCTTCTGCTCTCACCTCCCCTTACCTCTGCTTCGTCCACACTGAAAGATTTAATTGGAAATTTTATCACAACATGTAGAAGCGAGGCCTGTTATTGTGACTGCCAGGCAGCCAGTGGGTTTCCATCACTGTGTAAAAGGTTACATGCTGCTTTCCTTCTCCTCCCAGGGCAATCCCCAGGTCTGACTCAGAATTCCTGGGGTCCAGTCCTGGCTTTGGGACAGTGAGTAACTTATTTATTCCCCCTGTGCCTCAGTTTTCACATTCTCCTCATAGGATTGGTGTAAGTAGCCCTCACAGCGTGGTTTGGAGACCACGGTGCATCCCAAGGACCCTTTCAGGGGTCTACGAAGTCTAAACTATTTTCATAATAAATCAAAGACAGTATTTGCTATTTTCATTCTCATTTTTTCACAAGTGTATGTTGGAGTTTTTCGAAAGCTACATGATGTGTGATATTGTAACAGCTTGAATGCAGAACCAAATAGGAGAATCCAGCTGTCTTTTCCGAAGCCAGCCATGAAAGGGATTTATTTGCACACATGTAAAATGGTGCCATTCTTCTAATTAAGGTTTTTTTGTTTTGGAAAATATAGTTTATTTTCACGAAAATTGTGTGATTTATGTAAACATATAATGGGTTTTTAAATTATTTCTAAATGTAATAAATATTTTTAAAATTTGAGGTTTAATTTCTAATATGCAAGTATAACTCATATTAAAAGATTCTTTGGGGGGGGTCTCAATGATTTTTAAGAGTGAAAAGGGGTTCTGAGACCAAAAAGTTTGAGAACCACTATTGTCAGTGGACATTTTTAAAGCTCTTAGAACATTATTAGCTTGGAACAAATTAGCTTGGGATTGAAAGCTTAGGACAATATTAGGTATTATGATTCCACTTTATATTCTTGTAGTAAATAATTTAGACTTATTTTTCCTCTATTTAATCTGGGTTAGTAATTTATATTGTACGTAACAAAACTCTCTCATAAAGCCTTTTTTACTTATTTCTATGTGTTCTGTTTTGATCTTTTACGTTCTGAAACAGTTCGTTTTCCTTGTTAAATAGTTTTTGAAAGTTGGCAGCTTGAAAAACATCCAGGCATGTTTTCAAAATCATGATTTTGGAGAATTTTTATTTTGCCTCATACAAAACATAGGACTTAATACATTTTTGACTTACATACATTTTCCTGCTCTGTGTTCAGATTTCAGTCAACAAGATTGATTGAAGTTTAAGATTTTGATATTTATATGGGAAGAAATTCGAAAGGCGACAAGAATATATAGTGATAGGCAAATCTCTTCATCTCTAACTGCTGTCTATTCAGTTCCCATTTCTAAAGGCAAAATTTGTTCTAAGTTTCTAATTCTTCCAGAAATAGTCCATGCAAATACAGTGTTTGTGTGTGTGTGTCTGTATTTTTATTATAAATATATATAATAAAAATTAACATTTTAAAAAACTATTTAAAAGTTTAGTGTCTGATTCAGTTTGGAAAATTACTTTATACACACTGGTTATGCAGTTAATTTATTTTTTTAATTAAAAAAATTTTCAGTTACAGTTGACATACAACATTATATTAGTTTCAGGTGTACAACATAGTGATTAGACATTTATATAACTTATGAAGTGATCCCCCTATAAATCAAGTACACATCTGACACCATACATAGTTATTACAGTATAACTGGCTATGTTCTCTAGACTGCACTTTACATTTCTGTGACTATTTTCATAACTGACAATTTGTAGATTTTAATCCTTTCCCCTTTTTCATCCATCCCCAACCCCCTCTCATCTGGCAACCATCAGTTTGTTCTCTGTATCTATGAGTTTGTTCCTGTTTTGTTTGTTTATTTTGTTTTTTTAGATTCCACATATAAATGAAATCTGTGGTTTTTGTCTTTCTATAAAATTTAGCATTTTGGGCCGGCCGAGTGGCTCAGTTGGTTAAGAGCTTGCTCAAGAGTGTGAGCTCTGAGCAACAGCAGTTTGAGTCCCTGCCCGAGCTGAGCTGCTGCTGAGCTGCCAACAGGTGGCAGGATGGCTCAGCTAAAAAAAAAAAAAAGCATTTTAACCATTTTTAAGTATACAGTTCAGTGGCATTAAGTATATTCACATTACTGTGATCCATTTTCAGAACTTTTTCATCTTTCTAAACTGAAACTCTGTACCCTTTAAACAATACTCCCCATCCCTCCTCTCCCTAGCTTCTGGCAACCACCATTCTACTTTCTATTTCTATGAATTTGACTCTTCTAGGTAAGTGGAATCATACAACATTTGTCCTTTTGTGTCTGGCTATGTCACATATCATAATGCCCTCAAGATTCACTCATATTGTAGCATGTGTCAGGATTTCTTTCCTTTTTAAGGCTGGATAATATTCCACTGTGTGTATACACCACACTTTGTTTATCCATCCGTCTGTCCATGGACATTTAAATTGTTTCCACTTTTTGGCTCTTTGGATAATGTGCTATGAACATCAGTGTACAAATACCTGTTCAAGTCCCTGGTTTTACTACTTTTGGATGTACGCCTAGAAGTGGAATGCTGGGTCATGTGGTAGCTCTATATTTAATATTTTGAGAAACCATGATACTGTTTTTTCACAGCAGCTGCACCATTTTACGTTCCCACCAGCAAAGCACAAAGTGCTTTTTAAAAAAATTTCTCCACATCCTCTCCAACACTTGTTATTTTCTGATTTTTGTTTTTTAAAATAACCATCCTAATGGGTGTAAAGTGGTGTCTCATAGGGTTCTGTTTTTCATTTCTCTAATGACTGTTGATGTTGACCACGTTTTCATGTGTTTATCGGCCATTTGTACATCTTCTTTAGAGAAATGCCTTTTCAAGTTCTTTACCTGTTTTTTAATTGGATTGTTTTTTGATGTTGAGTTATAGGATATGTGTGTGTTTTTAACATAATTGGGGAGAGACTATATAAACCATTCTGCATTTGCTTTTTTCACTGAGCAATACATCTTTGTGATTATTATTTATAGTACATAAAGAGCTTCCTCATTTCATTGTATGAATGAATCTGAATATATTGACTTAATCTCCCATCAATGGATATTTAGGTTGTTTCCAGGCTTTTGCTATAATAGTCCATGTTGCAGAGAATATCTTAGTATGCATATTATTTTGCAAAAGTGAGAATTTTTCTATACGATAAATTCTTGGAAATATGTCAAAGTGCATGAAGATTTTTGATTGGTGTTCCTATCTTGACAATATATTCTCTCATTTCATTGTATGAGCATGCTTGCTTCCCTACTCCCTCTTAAACAAAGTTTATTATCAAACTTCAGGATTTTTGCCAACCTGATATGTGAAAAATAGAAACTCACTGTTAATTTTTAATTTCTCTAATTATGGACCTCTTTTCCATATGTCTATTTTCTTTTATTTTCTTTTATTTGAACTCGCAGTTCATGACCTTCCCCCATTTTAAAATCAAATTATTTGTCTTTTTTATATTATAAAGATCTTAGTCTGTAAA